AATAATAATTAGATAAGTGCGAGATTTCCCCAGAAAAAAAATCGGCCTTGAACTGTCATGGCGTGTATGCGTTATATTTGTATCTCTAGGAGGTAGGCGTTCAAATATATTTTAATAGTTAGGGTGTGAAGAGAAGATTCTACCTTGGAGTAGTACTAATACATACTCATATCGTATATGGGTTTTAGCGCAACGACGTTCGGGTACTAAAAAATTGTATGCTGGACACTTAATTAATTTGCATCCCATGTTTTATGCACCATAGAATTATTTATTTACATTTAATACAAGTAATGGGAAAAAATGGAAAATGTTTAAGCTTTCGAAATTGCCGTAAGTTTTCGTGCTGTAGAAGAGTGCCGGGTAGTAACAGTATCTGTGCAAGTAGCTATTCCTGTGAAGATCTTTGCCAGTCGTTGCGTCGTTTTTCAAAGAATCAAAGAAGAAGAAAAAAGCATAAAAAACCTGCATAGATCTGAAACTCAAGATGACAGGGTGAAACAGTTTCGCATCCACTGAAACACATCGAAAAGGCTAGTTGGGCGTTGGTAACGGTGAGCTATGTGGAAGCGAAATAAATACATATTTATATATATATTTATCACTGTCATATCAGCATCGGTTGATGCCGAAAACACTTCAGCTGCGTCAGTTAGCGACGAAAAATCGCTTAAAGATGCGTACGTGAATTTACGTCCTATTGTTACTGTAACAATGATTAAGTGATGTAAATTTTCTTGCACCTGTTAAGTGTTAGTACCACTCAGATATAATAATAGTTATATACCTGCGAAAGGGTATTTCACTTGCATAGGACAAGGTCGGCTATAAAAGATTCTACGAATACAGACCCGTGAAGAAAAGGAAAAGATAGGGCCCGTTTTCTGTTCCTCTTCAATAAATATCTAATAATTATTCTATTTGCCCCTTGACTGGCCATTCCGTGACCCAACGGATCAAGTCATTAGGACTAATGGGAAACGGTAACGTTTTATTTGATCTCATATGGCCACACTCATGAGTTTTATGCGTGTGCGCTATTTAGATCTATTCTACTTATTAATTAAGCAACTCTGGCAGTATAGAGGGCATCTCATGCCTATCTATGCATGTGTGTCGACCGCTCATCGCGATGGCTCAGGGCAACACCGAAGGAATCCGCTGTTCGATTTTAATCAAGGGGCAAAGATAACACGGAAGTCTTATCTTCATCTCACGCACGCCAGTAGCGATGTAAGGTGCAACTGAGGTACGCAAACACATATTTAGCAAACACATACGCACTACGCGGTTCGAGTCGATATTGTTACGCATGGCGGAACAACACCAGAGCGACAGCCCCTACACCATCTGCCACTACTGCCATTAAGCTACTTCGCGACTCATTATCTTATCTGTTTTACTATGTTCTAGTATAGGAGATGGCATGATGTTCATAAGGGACATACGTGCCGCTATCCGAGATAGACGATAATGAATATTATCTCATGCCATCTCTCGCCATCATCGCAAACCATTTTCTGAGACCACCCATTGTGCGTTGGACGTACAGCAATCGATATAATTGGAAGGGATCAATGAAAAGGAAAGGCAGACAGGGCCATTGGCCAAAAGCATAAGTAACTAAGCGCTGGAAATGTTATTATGGAAAAGATATTATGTGCACGTATTTTGCATGCTGGTCGTACTAACCGTTAGCGTTTATCCTAAAAGGATGTACGGGTTATCTATTAGATAGACGATATCTAGACGGGCAATTTTCAAGTAGACGGACGTAATAATCCGTCCCTATTGGACTTAGGAACATCTGCGGTGTTCTAGGTTTGAAAGCAGGCACAAGCATACTTAGGTTCGTGCTGGGAGCCAGCCGTCTGCAGTGATATTCAACGACGACACCGAACGTAAAGGTTGAAACGTTTATAAGGAAAGGAGTATTGTTTGCGCCTTAAATTTGAGCCCTATTTACTGCCATAACCAGTGGAACTCTTATTAGATTTTTCCGCATGAGCAACTTCAGTAGGGGCCACTTCAAAGATATAATATTCATGCTCAAAAGAGCGATGCATTTAAGTTGTGTTTCCGTTTTGAATCTATCTGTCTCCCATCAGCCGACATAGACAGTCTCAATTCCCTCGTAGCAACCTAACTAGACTAACCGGAATTATGCTCAGTAACCTAAACAGGTTAAAGATTTTTAGTACGCATCTACTAAAGTGGCTAGAGGGTACAATATAGTAAAAACAAAAGTAAAGGAAGTGAAGTGAAAACTTTTGAAGAAACTTTTGGCCCACGGTGGTACCTGATCAGACAGTCACGCTTAATTTGAATCCTGTAAGCGTACGTGGCGCACTCTTAGTAGTGAATATAATCTCATAGTGAATATAATGGATTTCGAAATATGATTTCAAGTTGTCGGGCTGCAGGTGGGCAATACGAGAATTTTCGACTTCTTTTATGCACGACTGGTCATGGAGTTTCATGTGAGTGCTAAAAAGCTCCAGCCCCTAACTCATATGGTCACTAGCTCAAGATTATATGTTTTCAGTCCAGGAAATGTTCGTGCACTTTTCCTTCGCCAACGCTACATTTTAAGCAAACAAGCGGCATTTGAGGCGTTTTACATAATTTTTATATGTTCGAAGTCGTTATCGTCATAAATAAGTAACAGTGCTCAACCACAAGGTACTAAAGTATAACTGAGTAAAGAGGGACTCTTTATACCACGAACGAACTATCCTCTGGTACACATACAGAATCGCGTGACATCTAGATACCTAAGCGGTTTGAAAGCCTGAAATACGTTTTTATTACCATCGTTCACCACCTAAAGATTTCTCAACGTCACTACCTAACGACATGTTCACTCTAGAAGTAACTAGCATTGTGTAAGAAATTCATCCTATGCAAACAAGTGAGCTTAGGACGATAAAGATATTAAAAGTGATATCACTGCAGTAGTCATTACAAATAAAATGAAAAAACATATTAATCACTTATAATTGATAAAAACTAATCCGATTGATTTATTGTTATGCCCCGACAATAATATTGGATTTGAAGTTTGTATCAGTGATACAGTGTATCGCATTGGTCAATCGCATTAATATACACGTGACCCGACCCACGTATTTCAGCACCATGGTCAATCGTGTGTCCTGTCTACGCTTCCGCGGACTTGCACTGCTCGTAGATACATGCTTTCATATACGTCGGGTAATATTTAGCACGAAATGGAATTCTGTACTCAAATGAAGGAATACGCAAAAGCCATGAGACTGTCCAAAAGCGCTCAATCAAACCTTAGAGCCACGTGGCCGCATCACAAAGCAACGTTTACAATCGTCTGATCGTAGTTGCAGGGATAATAGCTTGCGTGAGCGAAAAAAACTCAATTATTGGAGCCTCATCGAAAATGCTGTTTGATGATGTTCTATACGGAATTGCGTTTCTGCCTTGGCAGAGCTTTAAACCATCTTAGATATTATTATTATTATTTTTAGTCTATTTATAGGTATCTTTATATTATAGAGTAGGAAAGACTGTAGAGCGACCGGATTTGCAGGGTCGAATATTATAGCATTTCAGTTCTATCATGTAAATAGAGATTGCCGGTAGTGGTAGTGGTAAGGCAAATTAAAACTAGTAAGAATCCTGCCACAGCAAAATATAATATAGGCGTTCCAAGTGTATTACTTTTCGTTCATAGGTAGATAAGAAGTGGCTGCTTTGGCCGTGCTACTGTTGTTATGGGACACGGGTTAGATAGCGGCATACATTTTAGATTTAATTTAGAAAAACTTCGAGAAAAAAAAGCTAAGCAATTCGTCCGAGCTTGCCCTTTTCCCAACCGTGTTATTCCAATGATTGGTCAGCGTGGTCGATTAATCTATGCTATATTCTCTGTCATAGGAACTTCCGGCCTACTTGATCGGCGATTCAAATCAAATTCTGTCGAGAATCAATCTTCTCTGAACGGTCACGTTCTCAGAGGTTTCAAGCTTGCGTTGCATTGTCTTCGTCGAATGCGGCCGTACTACTTGCCGGGGACTCTTCTTAACTACACTGATACCATACAGCCATTCTAGAGTAAAACGCCTTTATTAAGCCTTAATTATTTACTAGCAGTATGCATGTTTGGTGTGCGGTCTGCTTTGCTGATTAGGAGAAGTATATACATGAACCTATACGTGCATGGACTGGTAGCTTTAAAATGTGTGCAATAATATATGTTTAAGCTTCTACCTTTCCGTATGCTTCATCTATCATAAATACTACCTACGCAAGCGATACGCTCATTCATCGTTGATATTAGTTTCGAATTTTGGGCGTATATTTGACGTATGATGTCCAGTTATTAGATTTCCTCAATAATGTAATACGCCCTGTCACAATTTAATAAAATTGCATAGTACACAAGATATGATAGGATCAGCTCTGGTAACTAAAGATAGCTTTTGTATCGTCCTCACTAGCTAAAGTCAAAGTGCATCGCTCTTCCGATGCCATTAGAATCATGCATTACATATGCGTGGTCGTGACTCCATTCTATTCCTTTAGTAATGATACATCGACCGTATCTTGAATATGAGTAAAACGGAGCTAACCGTACGAAATATTGAATGCGAACTTTCTATAGTGTTAAACAAGGACCATAATCTCATACAAAATATGGTATGCGATATTCTAATGTTCCTTTTCCATATCGTGTTTATAAATTTGAACTTTATTCTGAGCCTTCCGCACCGAGCTCACGTCGTAGAGTGTAGAGCTTTTTACTGCATGATCGAGGTCAGCTCCATAAAGCCTGTGATTGCTTTCATTTAGACAAACGTTCCAGCATTTTTCCTTTGGCTTTTTTTTCGGCCGACCATTGCAGTTGCTTGAGCTTTACTTTCCGCCGTCACAGCAACAGCCGCGATAAGCCAGTGTCTGCATAGAAAATTTCGTCTCTCTCTCTCTCTCTCTCTCTCGCTATATATATATCCTTTCGATTCGTTCTGCCCCTCTTTGTCTCTTTCCATCTCTGTTGTTTGTTTGTTGGAACCTGAAAATGTAACAATTCTTTCGTCTTTTTTTTAGAAGGAAAATGGAGAAGAGAGTACTTTCCATGCACGTCCATTTTAGACAGAATCGATATCTCCATATACGTCCAGATACTATAGGATAAAACATCTTTTCTTGCATGCCAGGCTTACATTGTTGCTACGCTTTGGAAAATCCACTGACGGTTCAATTCGACCGAGTGCATCTATTTGGGTACCGTTAGCTACTAGTGTTAAACCAGGTTGTTCGGGGAAAAGGCAGTACATAGCTTCATAGTTTACGTTATACTGACGCAAAACCATCGGTATACCTATTTCCCCTGCAAGAGATGCGTGAAGGGCGTTTAGAGCTAGAAAAAGAACTAGCTGACAGGATGGCTGATTATAAAAAAAACGATGACAAAAGGGGGAAAGAGTAAACATAACGCCAGAACGAGGTTTCTGTTTTCTGTTTGGACGTCCAGTAGAAAAAAACTGAGCTTGCCTGAAAGGTGTTTTTGTTAATAAATTGCGACTATATTGAAAGCTCCTCACAGTCACTAGCCCGTGCCTACCCGTTATTTATACTACGAAACTCAAATTGATACAACGACGGAAAGGTGAAGCGATTCGGATATATTTACAACAAGCAACAAAAAAACATTATAGAAATAATCGATATTTGTAAGTAGAAACGGGTGTTTTTTTTTCGTGTTCAAATAACAAAGGTGACGAAAAGCAGGGTTGTCTTGTTTTTCGTCAAAAATTTGTGGACGAATTGATTGAGTTTAGAAGTCTTCCACAACAAAAACGTGACCCTTGTAGTACAGATACAGCGTAACGTAAACAATATATACACATATGTCTCTATTTTTCCCACTGTTTCCTCAGCAGTACCTTCAGGACCTGTAAGGAAAAGTTTTATTGAGATTAGCTTCGCTTTGCCGAACAGACATGTAGCGCAGCAAAGTAGCTTCAAAGACACCAAAAAGTGTAATGTGTAGTAAAATTTTAGCCTATTGAAACAACGGCGGTTTATAAATTACTTAACCGTCAGTAAGGGACTCGCGCCTTTGTCGCTGAGGTCAGGGCAGTTTTATTGTTTCCGTGTGTGAACCTCATCAGATTTATGACTCTTATGTACATCTAACGTAATCTCGTCATTGTCAAACCATGGACAAAGATCAGATAGAAAAGAGCCAGTTTTAGAATGTACAGCGGTAGCAAACGTGTAAGCATGAGCATCAGAAAGCCTACAAGCAGAAAAAATGATCTGAAGGCAAATGACTGACTGACCGAGAAATGAACGACCTACGTATCTACCGACCTACGTTGACAGACCTCTTCCTTGACATCATGGCGCTCATTCTAGAACAGCCTCCGGCGGCTGCAATGGCATCGGGCACTAAGCAACTGCCCTCCGAACACTGTATGTCTTTTCCAGAATCTTAATTTTAAAATTCAGCTGCTGTTACTCTTTTCCTGCTACAGCTATTATGGACCATTTATTGCCCTTCCTCTCTGCGCCAACTCCATCTATATGGTCTCATATCAACCACTGGTAAGTAACCGCTATCACTACCATCGACGAGTCAGTTGATAGACCTGTCTCTTTGTCAGCGTTCTTGGATCACGAGACTTGCGTGCTAGTATAGCAGATAGAAAAACTGAGAAGTGTTGGTCGTCGCCCCTTCGGGGCCTGTGCTCGCATAGAGCATCAGTGATGAAAGGAGCCAGCCTAAAATGTGTCACGATAATAGAAACTGGCAAACGGATTTGATTGTATCTCAGTATACAAATTACAACTGCTAGCGTCACTGGCCCTAATTCTGCTTCTACTATGAGCACTGGAACGATTAAACCCGGCGCTATCTGTCACCAGATGGCCTCGGGCGCAACCGCCGAACAACCGAAGGAAAACTGTGCATCGAAAAGAACACATAAACAGATCCAACGGAAAGGGCAAAACATTGACGTCCAACCCAGTAACTACGGGAAAGCAATATAGGAATTCAGGAAAGTAGGCAAATGAACGATAGGCGATAAATGGCAGTCCTATAAACAGTCATCACCGATTCTGCAGACGCCTTTAGCCAACGCTCGACCACAACTACCTCTACAGAAACAATTGTTGCACAATCGTATGATCATGTTGCTTCGAACGAGGAGGGCTTATCTACAAGCAGAGTGATGGAGAAAGGAGCCCTGCGAAAGGAAATGATCAGCTGATGAATAGACGCGGCAACAACTGCAATAAAGGCGGCGACGACGACGACGACGATAACTGCTGATGCTGCTTGAAGTGACTGGCACAACTTTGTCACCTTTGAATGGATCAAAGAACAGTCGTAGATGATCACACTTGGAAGAGCGTTGCTGATAAACCAAACCAGAGGGTCTTGTCTGAAAAAACATCATCATGCTGCTCACGTTATGGCAACGTTCCAAGTTCGCAGCGGTATCGGTTTTATCGTCAGCCTATGTTGTCTATGTAATACGTTATATGCGGTGCCAAAAGTAGCAATAGTATTCTCTGTCACGCCTCAGGTCTTTTCAAGATGGAGCGTCTTATTTTTAGCCCACACAGGCACTCATACATGCACATAAGTATGCATGCATCAGAGACGTGTACAGTGTCGTACAATGGAAACACGAAAAAGAACGATACTTTTTCCCGATTCATCTTTCCTTCGAGTAAACTCACAGGGCTTTCCCTGCTTTCTGTGATCGTTTTGTGCATGGAGTTCGAGTAAGTTTAAAATTATGTTGAATTCTCAGTTTAGCAACGACTACTATTAGCAAGGGAGAAGTGCCTTTGTTGTTTGTTCCATAGTTACTGCAGATCGGCAGCCTATAAGCACTTTAAGCATCGTCAGCTGGTGAAGTTGCAACAGATGTGAAAGCGTTACCACAGTCATCTAAAAGCTAATGGCCAAAGCAGCCAGTAACGTCGAAACGAAACACGCTTCGATGAGCTACAGGATTTAGGTTTGCAAAGCTGTGGGACTGGCGACAAGCAGACAGAAGCGAAGGATGCCGGCACAGCTGAAAGGCTTGAGCCTTGAAGGCAAGTAACGAATCTTCTTGCTTTTCTTTGTTTTCTTTTTTTTTCTCTGTCGGCCAAAGCAGCTGCGTCTTCATGACAGGCACGCCGAAATTCTACCAGCGCGGCCCAGTCAGCGACTGCGTCACGTGCAGTAGGTGATAGATTACTCATGGCGACTGCAACAGCGGTGGCGGTGGCAGCCAGCACAGACTAGGTTTATTTACTATCACATCGCATAGTCGATGATGTTTGTTTTCTTCAATTTCAACGGTGTGTGATCGTATGTAATGTGTCAGTTGGAACTTCGACGCTGATGGCGCTGCAGGCGGCTACCGTGGCGCTAGTAATGCCGTTCACAGCCAATCGGGATTCGAAGCACTTGCTGCGCGAAACGTATGCCGCTGAAAGTTTGTAAAGAGCAGGTAGTTGGATATGTGAGAAATCGAACCAACGAATGAAACGAGTATGTCAAAAAAAACACTATCAAAAAGAAGATAATATCGAGCATACACTTACCAATGTGCATTGGCTGTCATGTCTGGTAATAATAACATGTCTAATAGGCAACCCCTACTTTTTTCTAATCTGAAATCAGAAGGAAAACGAAAAAAAGAAAGAAATATTCCGTAAGCGTAATAACTAGAATATAATAAGTGCAGGTATAGCGACTTTCATGTTGTCGCGTTGTCATGGGCATAGTAACAGCAAAAATAGATGCAATGATAGAAGTTCATGTTTCCAAGATTACTTCATCGCTACATAGAACAGAAGTTATAGGAAAATTAATTGTGGAAAACAAAGTCTAAATCACTGCCCAAACGAAACGAAATTCGCTGTTAAACATGTTAAAGGTGGCAATGCGAGTTCAATTTTTAATAATTATATATTATTAAACATTACAAAAGGATTTTTTCAAATGCCTTACAGTGTTTCGTAAATTTACCCAATATATTCTATTATACTTTAACTAGTCGTACATATAATTGCTTCGTACTCTAAACTGATCCAAATTATTGATAATTATTGAGGATGTATTTCTCAAATCGAACAGATCGATCCCCCTGGCACAGGTCAAAAAGGAAATCGCCAAATAGCACTTTGTTGGCTTTCTGTTTCCGACGAAGTCACTAGATTTTACCAATCAAAAATTAAAAGACAATAGAGTTTAATTTCGGTGCAAGCTAATCAAGTGTGTGCCTTCAATTAAGTACAATAATTCATGGGGCACGTGACGAAATACTGATCAACGATTGTCTAAATTGAATGAATTCACTCGTATAGCTTATATTTAGTTGGCTATAACAAGCTGTCGTAGCTTTCCACAGTGTTAGCCTGTGATATCAATGTGCCAATGTCGCACTTTTTTTAGACGCTTTCTCTGCCCTTCATGCTTCACTCCCTGAACCTTTACTATGTCAAGAACGTCAGCAATATGAGAGGCTGATTGCCAGCGAGAGTGTCCGGACGCCAGTGATAGCCTTCGCCGGTCAGTAAAAAATGGTGCTATGCCCAGTTTATTTCACCAGCTACTGGAAGGACACAATATGTCAAGCACGTATATCTGCCATTGAAAGAGGGTCCCCCAAGTGTGATGTATGGCAAACGGTCCAGACTATATAGACGGCAAGGTCACTTGCGGATACAGTTGTAGTGTCGTGCCTGAGCCTCCGTCCTTCTACGTCAGGTAGGTGTACCTTGAAACATTTAGGCCAATAAACAGTACAAGGTTTTTCATATGAGCTACAGAATTGTACCACTATCTCGTCACAGTGATATTGAGTAGATATAGTATTGATTAGTCACCGACTCATCAGAATCACTCGTTTACAACACTAAAACAATACGTATACATGTTCGAATCCTTAGGTAGGTTGACACGCGCGTCGTCGCAAGCATTCTCTAGAACAAGGCGCACACTATGGGCTGAAATGATCATTTGCCTGATCTCCAATGACGCGTGGAGCAGAAGGATCGAACATTCGAGGACAGCGACATCGCCTCGATGAGATGTACGGACGCTATACGTAGGGGCACTACTCGATTTCGTTCCGTTCGATTGGCGGCTGTTTACTAGATAGCGGAGCATTACTGGGACAATCTGCTATTTTATGTCTTAGTTCTTCCTTCGCATCGTTGCAAATGTAGAACCGTTAAAGGCCGCCAGTGATTGTTGGCCGTGTATGTAGAATGTAATATGTCACGTAAACTAGACAGCCGTCAAGATGGCTTGTCAAATGGAACGTAGCTATCCGACGCGTTCGACTGTGTTACTACTAATGGTATGAACACTGGAAAACAACTGTTCCTTGTGCACTGCTCCAATCTCAGTAGACATAATGCACATGCTACAGTTGCTTGTGTTCATAGATAAAACAAACGTTAAACAACGTTCGATGTAGAGATGCGACATCGTATCTGCTAGGGTATTTCTTTGGCCAATGCCTTCTGCGCAAATCTGTTCGTTGCACATGAGAAATATGAAAAATTCATGTAATCTTATCGTTCGTCTTTCATATCTTAACATTGCGGATGGCTAGTATATGTCAGTTACAGCTTCCCCTTAGATATACAGATAAATATATTAAGTTGTTCTGAAAATAAGGACGGTGTGCCTCTTCTCTGCGCTTTTGTTTGTTCATAGAAGTAATTATTTATGTTGGCGGGACCAGATCCGACCGCTGGGCTGCGGTTCTGTATTGCACTGGGACGTGATCAATCGTTCCTTTCTGGTGGCATATACAAAGAATTGAACCCATCGCGGTAAGAAACCAGGTTTCAATCGGTTGTCATAGTTGGCGTTGCACATTTAACATCAAGGTGATCCATTTGAATAGTTTAGTCTGTCCTCGTAATCGTTGTGTCGTAATGAGCCACTTCAATATGCGGATATGTACTGGATTCAAGGAGTACTACAAGGATTTCATCTCGCCGAAAGTGAAAAGGCCTGCGATACAGGAACTCATTGATTTATGTGCCTCTGAGCAATAGATATAAGTTTTTAACAATAACAGCAGTGTTTCCGTGTAATAATTCAGTAGTAGCTTGTCTGGGAATCATAAGAATACGGGTAATCCAGAAATAAGACAGACACTCGTTTAAAGTAATGCTTCTTACTCGGCAATAGATTCGAAGCATTTAGTGATAGTATACTGATCTTAAAATTTGTGATATTTTATAAGTTAATTTTGTAAACTGATGCGTACACGACGCTGACATAGAAGTACGATATTGATCGGCGCTAGTTTAGACGGCGGAAGGACAAGATTAGAGATCTTCCTCTGTCACGTGATGTTGTCAGCACAAAAACAAAAGCCTGCGCAGAAACTTTACAGTATTTTCAGCAACATGCGATACTAGTAGCATACGTTTTCAATTGAATATCGGTAACCAAACTCACTTGAATCCCAATGAAAGCAAACTGCTACCTTCATTCGACTGGTGGAACCATTGATGTTCCGGTTGCCTATACGGTAAAAAATCTTCGACTAAACAGTCCTAGTAGGTGTAATACTGGTCGTAGTAGTGCTACTGGCAGCGGCAATAAGACGGAGCTCGAGCGTTCTCCAAAGGAACGTCAACTTTAATGAACGTGTTCGCCACGTGCGATAATTGACGTATGTTCATACTGTAAAAAACACTGACTGGTGCGCGCGTGGGTACAGGATGAAAGGCGGGATGCGGACTCCGATATTCTTGGAATAACTCGATAGGTGCAGCTTAGCTTGACGTCCCCAGCTCACATATAAAGTGTCAACAGTAACATTAGCAGTACGTGTTACGCCTCGACAGTGGCCCGCTTACCTAAGCAGACGCTTTGCGGTGCCATGGAAACACAAAATGGCGACATACAAAGCCGATTACTTCTTGCAAATTACGGCTAGCGTCGATCTGATAGGCTATCACTATCAATACGGTCGCACATACGCAGATACAGAAGCGGGTGCAGCTGGAACTCGTTGTTCATCCTGCGACGAATACTCGTGGCCAGTCGACAGACGGATCGATGCCTCTGCAACAAACCGAAGTAATAAGTAACTATTTATGTCCGCAAGATTCAGCTGAGACCAAGCGGCCACTACAGCTGTTACCGTGACGATTAAGCGAACTAGGCCAGCTATCGGGAATCATTTCTGTTCAATTCAACTGACTTTTTTCATATATTTCTTCGTATAATTTTAGTCGACCAGATACTTCACCGGCTTTTGGGGTAGACTGAAAAGCTGCCGGTACGTGAATGAAGTGAAACACGGCGCTTCTTTTTTTTTATGAGTTTTCGTATTAACGGTGTTCAATGATAGGGCAGTCAGGAGTTAAGGTTTAGTATTTAGGATTTGTAATAAGACTTCATGTGGATGCGGGTGAAAACAAAGAGAGACTAGTAGCAAAAATGTAGTGCCTACAATGCTTATACTCACTTTGACACTCGTGTGGTGTACAGTTGTTCAGTGATTCGGATAATAGTAAAATACATTGAGAGACAAACTATTTATTAAATACAGCATCTGTTATAGTCACGGGCAACCATATAAATGTTCGACCTTTATTGAAATATACACGTCGCCTTCGTATTTTCGATCTTCTGTGTTATGAGTTTGACACCCGGTATCGCCACTAGACTCCCAGCACGAAATGAAATGTGTCTATACCCGGTCCGAACCTAAACTACAATGGGTCCACCGAGCTACCACGGAGAGGCCATCCGATGGTCTATTATTCATAAAACGTCAGGTCCATTAACTGCAAAAAAGTCCATTTACTACTAAATGCAGTAAAAAAGTGAATTTTAATTGAATCCCTGATAGATAGTCTTGCTATCATAGTAAAAACATCGCGCACCTACACAGTGTTATACATTGCGAGAGCTAAAAGATTCGGCAGCTTTGCAGCCATAGATATCACATACGGAGACGGCGAATTAATTCGAATAATGACCCGATGATCTATGTTTTGTTTGGTGAAATCTAACGATTACGAGCATAGTGCTTTTAATCACAGGGGGCGCTGCTATGCAAAATATCCATAACACTAGATATATATTGCAAATAATAGTGAGTGAAAATGCTCTACTGTGCCATTCATTCATAATAACGCGGTGTCCGTTTGAAAAATGAATAGTAGGGAGTGGGCATTTACTTAAAGAGTGTAGCGTAAGAATTTAACGCGTACCTAATTTACAAATTTGAGCCGCATGACTACATATTTATGATGAATGCTGCCATGATTCTGGCAGGTAAGACATCGCCATTACTTAAAACAGGCCTATGGAAACAAATCAAAATGATCATTCTCTGTCTGCTAAATCGATATATACCTAGTGCAATTAATGATAGCAAAGGCAAATATTGAACGCATCGTTACTAGAACTATAGCTTTGTCGTATTCAGCTACTTCCTTTTAACAGATATGCCTCGTTGCCTGTATGACATTTTCGGTAATCCAAGAAGAAATTCAATTCTTTAGCGTTTGTTCGAGCAACGTTAATAATGAAACTTATATACCCTGTACTCTTTCAAACATTGCGGTAAGCTTGTGTATGAACAATCCGTAAACCGTAAGAGTCCTGTAGCAGGAAGCTGAAATGAAGGTTTTTCAGGATGTTTGTATTAATTAGTGCATCCTTCTAGATATATGCTGTTTAACTAGTTAGCCGAATTACATAGAGTTCTGCGAAACCCATTTCTATGCAATTTTTCAGAACGTTAGACGATATCGCAACTGAAACCATGGAAAATCCATCAAATATCAAATTTTGTTTAACATTCATTTAATCTTAGCTTATTGAAATCTAGCATGTCACTGACGTCGACGAATCACGTGCAGTTAGAATGAGCTTTGAGATTCTGAGATAACATCAACTCATTGAGCTGTCAGCGTACATTGTCGGCATCCTAGAATTTTGCATGATATAGCTTATGCGGAACGGAAACTCTTCGGAGTTAAATGCTGGCTCGTTATCGGGCCGGAAATCTCCGAAATGCAAGGCTTTCAAACGGCCGAAATATCCTGATACTAAAATGAAGGAGCAACAATCTCACTGTTGAAGCTTATGTAGACGTATATTGGCAGTAGGTATTGCCCGTTCAAAAACGGCCGTTATTTTCCGTGACAAAAAAGACAGATTTATCAAAAATTAGTTCCAAACCCAACAAAAAGCTGTTCTAATTAATTTAATCCGAGTTTCTCTTCTTCGAAGATTTTTCGGTCTATCTTGTAAAAGTCTTTTGCGGAAATAGCATGAGCCGTCGCTATGGGCAGGTGAGAGGTTCGCGTGTTTTGTTTTGTTTCTTATCTTAGTGAAGGTTCGTCGTTTTAATATGATTCGTCAAATATTTACAAAGTATCTTCTAGGACGCGTTCGAAGTAATTGGAAGTTTCAAAATAATGGGTGCATGTATTTGTTGAAACGTGACTATAACCTGTACCTTTTAAGCGTGTTTTTAGGAAGAAATGCTGTGCGGAACGTTTAGTGTATAGCCTGCTTTAGTATATTTTATCCATTCAGTACTGTTCATATCACTCTGGACAAGTGGATGGTGTATATCTATTGGCGTAGGAGGTAGTGACGGTGGCGGTAACATATAATGCTACACCCCATTTACGAATTACCTCAATTGTTCAATTGGACAGGGCAGACTGTTAAGCGACGAGACATTCTCATGATGACCAGCCCGTGTCTTATCTCCCGTGTTACCGAACAAACGTTCATTGCATTGTTTCGTTGTCCTTCGTAGTTAGCTGCTACTAACAGCTAAACACAGAGCTTTTGTGGGATCACGATCATCACCACCACCCATGTCTCAACGAGGTTATTTACCGACTGTCGTACATGCTTAAGGGCAACTGAACGCTTCAGGGTCGTTGCCCGCTAATCAAGCGACTCAGTCAGACGACTGACTAACTTTGATCTTGAGGAAAGAACATAACTGGGCTAGCATGAAGGCATAAATGGACGAATGATTTTTATTAAACATCCAGTGATGGGGGTAGTAGAAGTACTGCACCCTTGCAAACTCATTTGGTCCCTTTGTCACCTACACCTGACTTCTTTGTGGCTGGGAGAAGAAATGGCGCTTTAAGGGTACGCTATTTGCCGTTTGTCTTTCTGGTTCCGACACTACGTCGCTTTTAGTCTTAAGTTGGTGGGAGCTGGCCTGATCTTTACTAAGACTTTTTTGCATTCTAGCCGTTACTTTAAATGAAATCCTTGCAAAGACAAAAGCCATTAATAACTAGCTGGGATTAGAAATAAATATCCAGCGCAGCCATTGGGAGGTGATTATTTGTACTATATATACTGCAGTTTTAGATGGCTCTACACATCTTCGGCAACAGACTTCTAATATTAATAAGTTTCTATTTTTAGCCTAGCTCTCTGGCAATAATTGATTGCCACTCATGCGAGGCACAGTCAAAAGTGATCGCCCCCATACCACTTCTTCAGATTCTATTTTTAAAAATTTCCTTACCCAGGCGCTTCGTTTGCAAGGTTAGAAAGGAACTGTGCCTGGGGTTCTCCTTGGCGTTGGGTGCTTCATTTTTGGTCAAAGTGGAATAAAAGTTGAATGGAACAGAACGGACAGTTACATCTTTAAGGATCCCCAAGTGCTTCTGGGAATTCAATGCCGACGCTGAAGAAAGCCTCACGATGCCCTGAGTATGGCCGCTCGCTATTTCCCTTGCATCGCCTATTTTACGACCTAGATTTTTCAAAGAAAGCAGCTACGGTTTCCCGATTTAAACGTAAGACATTGAGGCTTGCAAGTTTTACTTTCCTGGGTAAACTTAATTTCCAGCAGAGATCAAACCAGAAACGGCTATTACAACACTGTAATGAAGCTATAACAGCGAATTCAATAAACTGACTTCATTTACAAAATAGGAAAAAAAAACAATTTTGGGACATCTCAATGGCCACACTTACCAGTGACGTTATAGAAGTAGCGTCGGCTTGAAGTACCCTGGACACTTGGGAGTACAGCCACTAGAGGCTTTTTTGACAAGGGAAAGCTTTACCAGGTCAAACGGCCTAAGGAGGTAAATGGCTGTAGTCACTATCACGTCCTGAAAAAAAAGAAAACTGACTTTCTTCTTTTAGCTAGAAGCTCTAAAAAATTCTACCGCTACTGGACCTTCGATTTTTCATTTTTTAGTATATTCGAAGTATCGCTATCGCCCAACCTTGTTTTACAACCGAGCAGCTTCCCGTCGCTTCGTAAGAGCGAAGAAAAAGGAAATACCTTATTTTACTTTTTATTGAAACCAGGCACCTTCAGTGAACTCGTGTTAATAGGCTTGATGTACAGCGTCACCTGGATTTCATGCGTTGCCTTTATTTCTTGCATGGTCACTGGATAGATTTCTTTATTTTTTTATTTATTCTAAAGAACATGAGAATTTTGCTAGAGTAGCGTATTCTCTTACATTTAGCTAGACACTTCACAGGATAAGCACCCGCTTATGTGCGTGCGTTTATGCAATGTTTTTGCGGCATCACGAAGTGGTAACTTAATGATACGGCTAATTCACTAAAATTAAGGCGTTTCATATTCATTAGGTTTCATAGACTAAGTACCATTACCACAGGATCTCAGCGAGTAATATTGCTCCTGTGCTGGAAATGCCTTAGCCAGATTTAAATGGTTACTATGGCCACCGTGGATAAGGTCGGCCAGCCAAAAAGGTGCCCAAAATTAAAAAGATGAGTACAAGGAATTCGAGCCATCATTCTGATGGTACGTGGCCATATCACGCCACAGGATATTTTTAAATATTTTTTTTCACTGGAACCAAACGGTTCTCTGTACATTTGTATTTTTTATTTGTACTTCGTGTGCTCGTATACCCTTTTTTCCCTGATTTTATTATCGCACCCCATCGTAAATTTGTATGCTTACTTTGAGCTGACTATTCGCCCGTCTTAGGTGACTATTTCTGATCAAGTGAGTGGTATTTTTCGTAGCAGTTAAGTCGAGATGCGGGTCGGATAAAAGTGTCAAGTGTCCCTTCTATCAGCCTTTTCCAGTGTCCCGACTTCCGATACAGTTGCTAGGAGTACCAGGCCCAATGACTACGTATTTCTAACGAAAAAAGTGGGGCGACGGGATTGTGTAAGAAGCGTTTGAGGTCTAGCTATAGAAATGGGCGGCTGATGAAGCAGGACAACAAGGGAGGACCGGCGTCTTTCCAAGACGAAGTCGCCTCTCCCTCTATTTCCTCGTTACGGTCCTCTTCGTTCGTATTGTTGTCATTGTTATTTTTTCCCAGTTTGCCCTTTTTGTCTTCTTTGTCCTCGACCTTCTCTCTCATCTTACTGGCCGTCCCGTCTACCGCCCCAAAACTTCTTGTAACCCGCCACGGCCTCTACGCTGGACCCGCACCAAAGGTTTCTTTTTGCTTTTTCAGCGAAATGTCGGCTACCCCCCCCCCCCCCTTCACCTTAGTGTCCTTAACTTTTTCATTTACTACTTGTTGCCTGACGTTGTGTTTGCTCAAAACATGAAAAGACATCGACAGACGCGTCGAACATCATGCAGAACCAAATCCAGCTGAATGTAGCTCAGGAAACCTAAGCAGCTGAAAGGCCAAAGTAGAATAGGCCGAAAAAAACTACTAGAGCGCGCGGTCTTTCAAGCCCGATCGTGCCGTTACAGCCAGCTTTTTCTTTTACCTGCTGCTATGGCTGCTTAAACTTTTTTTAGCCTTCACTAGCGCCTTCGGCAGCATACTCTCTGATGCCGATGCATGCGCGCCTTTTGGCACCTCCGTTTTGCCTAGCCCTGTATTCTTGACTCGAAGAGCTTCTTCAACTCGGGCGCCGTCCTGCGAGGGAGGAATAGCGAGCTGATTGTGTCGTA